CTAAGCATGGAGCCTGATGCTGACACGGGGTTTGATCTCATGACCTTGAGATCATGACCTGAGCTGAAACCGAGAGTCGGACGCTTAACCGACTGGGCCACTGGATTGCCTTTTAAATACCAAGATTCACCTTAACTCTTCATGAACTCACAATGCTACTAATTTAAAGACGTTTTCATTTTCCAAATGTCTCCAAAAGGGCCTCAGCTGGGTCCTTCATATCCCAAAGGCCAACTTTAAACACCTTACCCTTTCATGCTCAACATCTGTATTCTAAAACTAAGTAGTTTGTATTTCAATTATGGAAAAATAGGTCTGAAAAACAAAGAAAAAGGAAAAACACGGCCACTCCATTTAGGCTGACTTGTGCATATTCTCTGCATGTAATGCAGTCACATTTCTTCCTGTTGGAGCAAAGGGAGTACCAATTTCTCTGATAAAAGTAGGAGGCTTTGGTCATGACAAGACAGGTGAGATAAGGAAAAGTAAAAGTCCCAGCAGCGGCACCACCATCACTATCAGTAGAATGCCTTCCGGAATGGTCTATTTCCAAATTAGATGAACTGGCCACCAAATCCTGGCTTGGACAACAGCTAATAGAGTGACCTTGGCCCAGTGGCTTCCCCTCCTGAAGTTTGGGCTTCTTATCTGCAGAAGGTAGATAACATTCTACTAAATAGGACTGCTAGGGGATTAACTGAGGGAATAAAAGGAAAACATTAAGTTTAGTCCCTGATTCGTGGTCAGTTTTTAATACCTCATTACTACCCTTTCATTCATTGGTTGTTATTTTAAGCACTTACTTACTATTTGTGTAATACCGGGCATGGCTTTGTGAAGGCTCAAAGACATGTAATAGCTTTCTCCCTCACGGAGCTTATAATACATTCATTGGTTCAATAAGCAATTATTTTTTTAAATATTTATTTATTTATTTATTTATTTATTTGAGAGACAGAGAGTGCGCGTGTGCGGCGGGAGGGGCGGAGAGAAAGGATCTCCAGCAGACTCCCCACTGAGCACAGAACCTGAAGCAGGGCTCAATCACGCAACTGGGAGATCATGACCTGAGCTCAAACCATGGGTCTGCCACTTAACCCACTGAGCCACCCAGGAGCCCGGGTTCAATAAATTACTGAGGGTCTATTATGTGTCAGGCACCCTGGTGGGTGTTAGAGTAACATACATAAGGTAAGTCAAGGCCCCGGCCCTCAAGTGGCTCACATTGTAGTGGAGAAGGTAAGACATGACAATACCTACAGTGTATTTACAACACTGAATGAGAAGAGCTACACCAGGGTGTTAGCATGACTGTTTTCATAGGCCTAGAAAGCATGGATGAGATTAACCTAGTGGAGGGGCTTGAGCGGAGAATTCTGGGTAGGGGAACATGTGTGCACAAAGAACATGACAGGTATGAGAAGCTGCGAGTTTTCAAAATCTGTGTCCTTGCAGAGGTAGTGGGAGCCAGGGCATAAGAAACTGGTTGAGGATGAATTATAAAAAGCCACCGAAGAGGTGGTCTCTTTCCTGAAGAGGCAAAGAGGAGCCAGGAAGACAGTTAAGCTATTGGGGGAATGTGCTCAATGTTCTACCCTTTGGAAAAGTCCCTCTGCAGTCTGGGGTCCGGCGGAAGTGGGGCTGGATGAACCGAAGACAAGGTGAAAAGTCCAGTTCCATTTTTGTCCAGATGGGAGAGATGAGGACTCACACTAAGGCAGTGGCCCAGGCACTGGGGAACCTCTGTGGCTATCACCGCCACTCAGGAGGAAGATCACGGGATGCCAAATGGACAGAATGGAGATGGGCATAAACTGAGAACGATTCATGCTACTGGGTGTTTGGCAGCGCCTCGAACATGATCAGGAATAAGAAGACTGGGCTCAATGAGGATTTAACACACGCGTAGTGAGTTAAATAGCGTATCAAGAAGAGAACAAAGCTACATACAGAACACCACTGGGCTTTAGATTATTGTGCCAAATTAGACAAAGGAGCAAATGTTACCAGTTCAGACTAAGCAAACAATGTTTGATCTCTTTTTCATGATTCCTCTTTGCATAATTTTTCCCTTTTCCTGGGAGCAACTGCACTGATACACGTTGGAATAATTTGCCTATTATCCTTAACAACAGCTGAAAATCTCTCATTCTAGGCCCACAGCCGCAGTTATGAAGACGCTATGACCTCTTCTTCCCCTAGATTTGCTTCTCACTCTGCTCAGTATCTTGCGCTACTGCCAAAGCCTTCTTTCATTGCATGAGTGCGACCATGTAATTTCTGGTGCGTTTTAGAGTAGTCCGAGATTTATTGAGAATTCATAACTTCCCAGAAAATCTTTGGGTCTGAGTTATAAATATAAACAAGATAAAGTCTGCCCTCAAGAACTTTACGAAATAGGCAGGGAGCCCACTCAGCCATTCAATAGCTAGTTGTTCAGCAGTGTTGTGGTACTAAGGGAGACACTGGAAATGCGAAGTGGAACTAGACACGATTTCTGCCATTAAAGAGTTTCACGTCTGATGGGGAAGGCGAATAAATCAAACCTTAAAGGAATGGGTGATAAGTGAAATACTAGACCATAAGATGCCTTGGGAGCAAGGAATAGGAATAGCCAACCCCCATCTAGATGTTCAGAAAAGCTTTCTCTATGTGACCTGTACATAAATCACAGAACACAAAGTCTACTAGGAATAGTGTCCAAAGCAGGGTATATACCAACTGCTGTGGAACAGGAACTAATTCATTCCAACTGAGTAGATCCAGCAAGAGTTTTTGGAAGAGACTACATTTCAGTTGGAACTTGGTAGAGTCAAGCGAATTAATTCCTGCAAAGTGGGAAACATAAGGGCATGTTTACGGAACAGGGTGATGTCCTTTACTAAGAGGTTTGGGGCTTTAAGACAGAAGGAGACAGACATACACTTTTTAAAAAGTTACAGCATAGGGAATATAGTCAATAATATGGTAACAATGTTGTATGGTGACAGGTAGTGACTAGACTTATCATGGTGAGCACTGAGTAACGTATAGAATTGTCAATCACTGTTGTACACCGGGCACTGATACAACACTGTATATCAACTATACTTCAATAATAAAACTTAAAATGAAAAAAGTCAACAGCAAATCTAGAGTTAAAAATACTACAACATTCAAGAAATGCCATGAGGCAGGAAGTGATTAAGAGCTAAGTTAGAGGAAAAGGCCAGAAGCACAAGTCTGGTGAAGGATGAGGTCACCAGTGTGTCTGAATCGTAAGGTGCTCACACAGCCCTGCGGCCGCAGGTTCCTTAGGGGCTGGACAGGCATCTTGCCCACCGGTGGACGCTGGGTGAAGGATGACAGTTAACGGAGTTAATCTTTCCTCAGCGAGCCAGAAGTTGTGAGGACCTGGAGCGCCTTGCTACTGTGTTTATACTTTAACCAAAACGCTAGAAGAAATTTAGGGGCCCCAAGGGAACTGAGGATAGCACCATTCCACTGCTTGTTCAGATGCAAATTGAGAAGCCAAATAAGTGACCTCCAAAAGTTGCACCAAGGCTATCCAGCCCTTATGTCCAGTGTTCTACACCTTTTAGGGTATGGGGATGGGGTCAGCGGGGCGATGGAAGGGATCCACAGATAACAAAGGGAGCTCGTTACAGGTTTTTCTGGAATGTTCTTTCCACTCTCCCTGAGGGAAGGCCATGTAGGACAGAGTACTGAACTTGAAGCCTGGGTCTCTGCCACTACCCGACATCGAACATTTAATGTTAATCTCTCTACATCCCATCTCCCCACTTGTAAAATAAGGAGGTCGTGGGCACCATACTAATAGCTAAGTATTTAGGGTTGACCATATGTCAGGTAGGCGTTTTCCACTTTCTCTCTTTTTTTTTAAGTATAATTGACACACAGTGTTATGATAATTTCAGGTATATGACATAGCGATGATGCTGTAAGTGTAGTAAGCACCTGTCACCATATAACATTATTACAACATACACTGACGACATTCCCTATGCTATACTCTTTATTCCACTTCTCTTCTGATCCTCACAACTACAGTGGTAGACTTTACTAACCCCATTTTACTCGAGACATTCAGTTCAGAGTGTTTAAGTAACACATCCGAGGTTACACAGCAAGAGGGGCAAGGCCAGACTGCAATCCGAAGTCGCCTGACCCTAACATCACACAGTCCCGGTTTCCTGGGGCTTAATTTCCCCCACACTGGGGCCGGGGGTGCCCTCCCCTCGACTACTGGCCGCCTCTCCCTTCTCCTGCCTGAACTCCCGGAGAACGCGCCCCTTCCACCACCGGGCATGCTCAGTCGCTCTCCAAGGGTTTTCGTTCTGCCTGGGGAAATTTTTCACGCCGCTCCGGCAGCCGGGCCCGCCTCGCCCACAGCTCCTTCTCTCCGGATTGGTCAAATTCAGCGAATCAGCGAAGAGGCCCAGATGACCTCCCATCTCCCCCCCACCACCCCCCGCACCCAAGCGCTCTGGGCGCGCGCGCTCCGAGCGTGCGTGCGTGCGTGTGAGTGAGCACGTGAGGCCCCGGAACGTGCACCGGGGGCGGGGACAGGAAAAGGGAGGGGAGGGGCGGGGCTGCCGTTGCCATGGCAGTGACGTCAGGCGTCGGGGAGCGAACCCGCCCCTTCCCCACGCGCGCGCGCGCACACAGAGACATGCACACGCGCGCGCACCGCCGCTCTCCCTCAGACACACTGGAGGGAAAGGTCAAACTAAAGGCGAGGGAGCGGGGAGGCCCGAGGGAGCCGCCGCCGCCGCCGCCGCCGCGCGC